GGAAGAGGTTCCCAAGCAAGGTTCCCAGGAAGAGGTTCCCAGGAACAAGTTCCCAAGCAAGGTTCCCAGGAACAAGTTCCCAAGCAAGGTTCCCAGGAACATGTTTTTGCAAGCAAAACAAAGTTCCCAGGACAGGTTTTCAAGCAAGTATTTCCAGAAGAGGTTTCAAGGAAGAGGTGTCAAAGCAAGGTTCCCAGCAAGCTGGTTCCCAAGCAAGGTTTTCAGGAAGAGGTTCCCAAGCAAGGTTCCCAGCCACAGGTTCCCAGGAACAGGTGCCCATACAAGGTTCCCAAGAACAGGTTCACAAGTAAGGTTCCCAAGCACGTTCCCAAGCAAGGTTCCCAGCAACAAGTTCCCAGGAACAGGTTCCCAAACAAGTTTCCCAAGAACAGGGTCATAAGTAAGGTTGCCGGAAAAAGTTCCCAGGCAATGTTTCCAGGAAAAGGTTCCCAAGCAAGGTTCCCAGGAACAGCTTCTCAAGCAAGGTTGCTAGGAAGAGGTTCTGAAGCAAGGTTCCCAAGAAGAGGTTCGCAAGCAAGGGTTCCCAGTTGTTCCTGGAAATTTTGCTTGGGAACCAGCTCTTCCTGGGGACGCTTACTTGAGAACATTTTCCTGCGAGCCTTGTTCGTGCTTGGAACCTTGCTTGGAAACGGTTCCTGACCTTGCTTGGGAACCGTTACCTGGTAACCGTACTTGCAATCGGTTCCTAAGAAATTAACCTTGCTTGGGGTCCTCAGCCACCCCAGGAACAAGATTTCCAATCACATTTTCCGGGTTTAGGTTCGCACGCAAAGTTACCAGGAACGATTCCCAAGCCAGGTTCCAGAAACAGTTGCCAAGCAAGGTTCCCAGGCCAGGAACAGGTTCCCAAGCAAGGTTCCCAGGAACAGGTTTCCAAGAAAAGGTTGCAAACAAGGTTTCCAAGAATAGGTTCGCAAGCAAGGGGTTTCCAGGCAATGTTCCTGGGAACAGGTTTCCAGGCAAGGTTCGCAAGACCAGGTTCCCAAGCAAGGTTCGCAAGAACAGGTTCCCAAGCAAGGTTCGCAAGAACAGGTTCACAAGCAAGGGTTCCAAGAACAGTGCCTCAAGTTCCCAAGCGAGGGTTCCAAGAACCGGTTTCCTTGCAGGGTAGCGGCAAGGTCCTTGGGAACAGGTTCCCAAGCAAGGTTTCCACGAACAGGTCCCGAAGCAAGGTTCCCCAAGGACAGGTTTGCAAGCAAGCTTCGCAAGAACAGGTTCGCAAGCAAGGGTTCGAAGAACAGGTTCCCAAGAACAGGTTCGGGTTCCAAGAACAAATTCCCCAGGAAGGTTCCAAGCAATAGGTTGCCAGCACGGTTCCCACGAACATGTTCCCAAGCATGGTTTCAGGTTGTTCATGTTCCCAGGAACAGCTTTTCAAGAACAACTTGCAAAGCGAAATTTCGAAGACCATCTGCAAGCAAGGTTGGAAGCAAGAATAGAATCCCAAGCCAGGTTCCGAAGGACAGGTTCCTAAACAAGGTTCCTAAGCAAAGTTACGAAAAACAGGTTCCCGAGCAAGGTCCCAATGAACAGGTTTGAAGCAAGCAGGCAAAGTTTCCAAGAACAGGTTTCCAAGAGAAAGTTCCCAAGAACAGGTTACCAGGCAATGCTCCCAAGAGCAGGTTCCTAAGAATAGGCTCCCAAGAACAGTTTCCCAAGCAAGGTTCCGATAAACAAGTGTCAAGCAACGTGTCCAGGAACAGTTGCCCAGGCAAGGTTCCAAGAACATTGAACAACAGAACGCTGCAAAGTTTGAAGATTTGTTCTAATAGCGGAACGGAGAGATTGAAGAACTAGTTTTGCTTCAAAAAATGATACGGCACTCGCACATGGATAAAACACTAGACGACGGCGTGGCATGAAAGAAGGCAGTAGGGAGGAGACGAGAAGATAATACACGAGAAAAATGATGATGGTGATGATGATGACGACAATGATGATGGCGATGACGATGACGAGGATGAATGGCGATGGAGATGATGATGAATGATAGCTGACGCGAGTCAAATATCATCTATCCACGGTTTCGCGTCTTTTTTGGCCCCACAGAGGGTTTGCTCCAGGGCTGGCACCTGAGTGACAGTCAGAATCCAAAGACATGTTGTTTTTACACAGCGAAAAGTTTACACAGAGAAGATGTTACACACAGAAGCCTTTACACAGAGAGGGATTTACACAGAGCAGCTTTTACACAGGCGCTTTTGCACACAGACGCTTTTACACACAGAAGCTTTTGCACAGAAAAGCCTTTTCTAAAGAAGCCTTACCACATGAAGCCTTTACACAGAGCAGCTTTACACACAGACGCTTTTTCACAAAGAAGTTTTTACACAGGAACTTTAACGCGCAGATGCCCAAGCTTTTACACACAGGAGCTTTTGCACACACACGCCTTACAAAAAGAAGCTTTTAGACACAGAAACTTTTACAGCCTTTTCACAAGAAAGCTTTTACACAGAAGCTTTTGCACAGATATGCCTTTACAAACAGAAGCTTTTACACACAGAAGCTTTTACTCAGAGAAGCCTTGAAACAGAGCAGCTTTTACAGACACAGAAGCTTTTACACAGAGACGATTTTGCACAGAGAAGCTTTTTCACAGACAAGTGTTTGCGGGAAGGAACTTTGAGCACAAACGGTTTTTAGATACAGCAGCTTTCACACAGAGAAGCTTTTGCGCGGACCAGCTTTTACACTCAGGTTTGTTTTCACAGAGCAGCGTTTACGCGGAGCAGCTTTTACACACCGAAGTTTTGACGCAGAGAGGCCTTTACACAGAGAAGCTTGTACACACAGAACCTTTTACACACAGACGCCTTCGCACACACACACACAGATGCCGGTACACAGAGCAGCTTTGACACACAGACGCTTTTATACAGAGAAGCCGTTACACAGAGCAACTTTTACACAGCGCGGCTTTTACACAGAGACGCCTTTACACAAAGAAGCTTTTCTACACAAACGCTTTTACGCATAGAGGCCTTTACACACAGAAGCTTTTATGCACAGAGGTTTTCACACGGAAGCTTTACACAGAGAAGCTTTTACGCGGGGAAGCGTATAAACAGAGCATCTTTAATACACAGAAGCATACACACACAAGCTTTACACACACGCCTTTGCACACAGAGCTTTTACACACAGACGCTTTTACGCATAGAAGCTTGTTCACAGAGCAGGGTTTACACAGAGCACAGAGAGAGGCCTTTGCACAGAGCAGCTTTTACAATCTTATACGCGCAGAAACTTTAAACACGTCCTTGTAAAATCGCAATTTTACACAAGTTTTATTTCGCGCGAAACGGTTGTGCCTGACTGACGTTTCAAAATGGATAAAGTCGCAATTTTACACCAATTCTTGAACGTTGGCATCTGACGTTAAAAAATCGCAGTTCTCCCACAGTTATTGCCGTTTGACTTTCGTGCCACGCTTGCATCTGAACTTTCAAAATCACAATTTTACAACAGTTTTTGACGGTTGACCCTCATTTCGTGCGAAGGGGCTGTGCCGGGCCTCACCAAATTTGCATTTTGCCACATGTTTGGATGTCCGACCTGCGCGATCTCTGAAGAGGGTTGCCCGTGCCCAAAAGAAATTCACATTCCACCACATGTTTAGGCGTTCGAAACGCACGATCTCTGCAGACGGCTGCTGCGGGCAAAGAAGTTTCGCATTTCACCACACCACATGTTTGCCCATCCGACACGCGCCATCTCCGCAGAGGGTTGCCCAAGGACAAACAAGACCCGCATTTCGCAACACGTTTGGGTGTCCGACACGCCGCAGAGGGTAACGATTCGTAAGCCACGGCCTGGCTGTCCCTGCCACCAGAGAGAAATAGAAGAACTGGATGATTTTGCAGGAGTTCAGATACAATTTGATCACCTGGACGTTAGCTGAACCCCTGTGTAGCAACTCCTGTGCAACAATTTCTGTGCAAAATGACCATGCCGGCAGGAGTCTTGTAGGAGTTCAAGTAGAAATGGATCACCTGCAAGTCAACTCCTGTGTAAATGACATTGTTCAAGTTTTGTAGGAGTTCCCTGGAAGTTGATCACCTGTAGCTGATGTAGGTGATGTTGTCTATGTTGTAGATGATGAGGATGATGTTGTAAGTGATGTAAGGTTAGATAGATTTGAAGATGTAGGTGATGTATAGGATGCAGTGATACAGATGATGATGTAGGTTATGTATGCGTTGTAGGTGATGTATATCATGTAGATGAGGTTGATGGAAAAAGATTGTGTAGGTGATGTAGATGGTGTAGGTGAGATAGATGATGGTGATGATGATGATGGTGGTGGTGATGGTGATGATAATCATGATGATGTAGGGAAGATCGTGCAGAAGATGTAGGTGATGTGGGTGATGTAGAGGATGTAGTGATGTAGATGATGATGTAGGGAATGTATGTATTGTAGATAAAGCATGTCATATAGATGGGGTTGATGGAAAATGTGTAGGTGGTGTAGATAATGTAGGTGAGACAGATGTAGATGATGACGATGATGATGATGATGATGGTGGTAATGATGATGATGGTATAGATGTAGATGTAGATCTAGAGAAGATGGTGTAGAAGACGGTATAGAAGATGTAGGTGATGTAAAGGACATAAGAGATGTGGATGATGTATGTTAGGTAGATGAAGTGAAGAGTGGGGCGGACAGAAGTTCTTTGGGAAAAAACCTTCGCACGAGCTTCGGGAATTTTGGCCACAGTATTGCGAACGCTTTTGGAAAAACGGTTTTTCATAAAGTGTTTGTGCTGTGATTGCGCCTTGTACGCCCGACCTCTAGAGTAAGAAGGGCGGGGCAATAAACATACTTCACTCATTGCGTGTTTGGCAACTGTTTTTGTTTCTGGCTGTTGGGGATACTCTTTGGGCTTATTTTCAGGAATCCAAATCCCCAGTTGATAGATGGCAAACATCCCATTAGGGTGTCAACCATCCAAGTTGGTGCAGCCCCCCAGGCCGTGGATCCCATCGTGACCCGACTCTTCAAGAGCTACGTTCGCTCCCGGCGATGGCCTGAGGACAGCTGCGAGGCCGGTCGCGAAAAAACGGCACCTGGTTGAAGGATGGGCTTCATGAGCCAGTTTTTTCTGACCAGTACATATCGACATATATAATATTATATAATCATATATAATATATCTACATATATAATCACACACACATATGTATATATATATACATCTCTCTCTCTCTATATGTAGATATTGAGGTCTTTTTCCATGCCATAAATGTTTTCACCCTAGGGACTCTGCCTGCGCTGAGGTGGTCCTTTTGCCAGGATGGTCCCTGGCGGAGCCTCACTTTGCGGATGGCTTTCGCTACTATGGACGCCGCGGGTCTGAGGATGAGCTTGACCACCCAGATTTGCTTAGTATTTGGAGCACCTGGAATTCAAAGTGAATCGATTTGGGAAGGGAGCAGTCCCGAACTTTGGGGTCATTTGGATTGCAGGTGTTCCATTTTCTCCTGTTTTGCATTCATATTCCGCTTTTTTCCCCAACAGCAGAAGCTTTAGGGTCTTCAGCCATAGTAAAGGTTTCGGAGCAGACCGGAGCAGCTCCAAAACCCATTCCCCCAAGGTTCCTAAGGTTCCCAAGGTTCCCAAGGTTCCCAAGGTTCCCAGGGTTCCCAGGGTTCCCAAAGGTTCCCAAGGTTCCCAACATTCCCAAGGTTCCCAGGGTTCCCAAAATTCCCAAGGCTTCCAAGGTTCCCAAGGTTCCCAAGGTTCCCAAGGTTCCCAGGGTTCCCAAAGGTTCCCAAGGTTCCCAAGGTTCCCAACGTTCCCAACGTTCCCAAGGTTCCCAAGGTTCCCAAGGTTCCCAAGGTTCCCAAGGTTCCCAAGGTTCCCAAGGTTCCCAAGGTTTCCAAGGTTCACAAGGTTCCCAGGGTTCCCAAGGTTCCCAAGCTTCCCAACATTCCCAAGGTTTCCAAGGTTCCCAAGGTTCCCAAGGCCCCCAAGGTCCCCAAAGTTCCTAAGGTTCCCAAGGTTCCCAAGGTTCCCAAGGTTCCCAAGGTTCCCAAGGTTCCCAAGGTTCCCAAGGTTCCCAAGGTTCCCAAGGTTCCCAAGGTTCCCAGGGTTCCCAGGGTTCCCAGGTTCCCAAGGTTCCCAAGGTTCCCAAGGTTCCCAAGGTTCCCAAGGTTCCCAAAGGTTCCCAAGGTTCCCAAGGTTCCCAAGGTTCCCAAGGTTCCCAAGGTTCCCAAGGTTCCCAAGGTTCCCAAGGTTCCCAAGGTTCCCAAGGTTCCCAAGGTTCCCAAGGTTCCCAAGGTTCCCAAGGTTCCCAAGGTTCCCAAGGTTCCCAAGGTTCCCAAAGTTCCCAGTTCCCAGGAAGAGGTTCCCAAGCAACGTTCCCAAGCAAGGTTCCCAAGAGGTTCCAAGCAAGGGTTTCAGGAGGAGGTTCCCAAGCAAGGTTCCCAAGAGGTTCCAAGAAAGGCTCAGAGGTTCCCAAGCAAGGGTTCCCAGCAAGAGCTTCCCAAGCAAGGGTTCCCAGGAAGAGGTTCCCAAGCAAGGTTCTCAGGAAGAGGTTCCCAAGCAAGGTTCCCAGGAAGAGGTTCCCAGGAACAAGTTCCCAAGCAAGGTTCCCAGGAACAAGTTCCCAAGCAAGGTTCCCAGGAACATGTTTTTGCAAGCAAAACAAAGTTCCCAGGACAGGTTTTCAAGCAAGTATTTCCAGAAGAGGTTTCAAGGAAGAGGTGTCAAAGCAAGGTTCCCAGCAAGCTGGTTCCCAAGCAAGGTTTTCAGGAAGAGGTTCCCAAGCAAGGTTCCCAGCCACAGGTTCCCAGGAACAGGTGCCCATACAAGGTTCCCAAGAACAGGTTCACAAGTAAGGTTCCCAAGCACGTTCCCAAGCAAGGTTCCCAGCAACAAGTTCCCAGGAACAGGTTCCCAAACAAGTTTCCCAAGAACAGGGTCACAAGTAAGGTTGCCGGAAAAAGTTCCCAGGCAATGTTTCCAGGAAAAGGTTCCCAAGCAAGGTTCCCAGGAACAGCTTCTCAAGCAAGGTTGCTAGGAAGAGGTTCTGAAGCAAGGTTCCCAAGAAGAGGTTCGCAAGCAAGGGTTCCCAGTTGTTCCTGGAAATTTTGCTTGGGAACCAGCTCTTCCTGGGGACGCTTACTTGAGAACATTTTCCTGCGAGCCTTGTTCGTGCTTGGAACCTTGCTTGGAAACGGTTCCTGACCTTGCTTGGGAACCGTTACCTGGTAACCGTACTTGCAATCGGTTCCTAAGAAATTAACCTTGCTTGGGGTCCTCAGCCACCCCAGGAACAAGATTTCCAATCACATTTTCCGGGTTTAGGTTCGCACGCAAAGTTACCAGGAACGATTCCCAAGCCAGGTTCCAGAAACAGTTGCCAAGCAAGGTTCCCAGGCCAGGAACAGGTTCCCAAGCAAGGTTCCCAGGAACAGGTTTCCAAGAAAAGGTTGCAAACAAGGTTTCCAAGAATAGGTTCGCAAGCAAGGGGTTTCCAGGCAATGTTCCTGGGAACAGGTTTCCAAGCAAGGTTCGCAAGACCAGGTTCCCAAGCAAGGTTCGCAAGAACAGGTTCCCAAGCAAGGTTCGCAAGAACAGGTTCACAAGCAAGGGTTCCAAGAACAGTGCCTCAAGTTCCCAAGCGAGGGTTCCAAGAACAGGTTTCCTTGCAGGGTAGCGGCAAGGTCCTTGGGAACATGTTCCCAAGCAAGGTTTCCACGAACAGGTCCCGAAGCAAGGTTCCCCAAGGACAGGTTTGCAAGCAAGCTTCGCAAGAACAGGTTCGCAAGCAAGGGTTCGAAGAACAGGTTCCCAAGAACAGGTTCGGGTTCCAAGAACAAATTCTCCAGGAAGGTTCCAAGCAATAGGTTGCCAGCACGGTTCCCACGAACATGTTCCCAAGCATGGTTTCAGGTTGTTCATGTTCCCAGGAACAGCTTTTCAAGAACAACTTGCAAAGCGAAATTTCGAAGACCATCTGCAAGCAAGGTTGGAAGCAAGAATAGAATCCCAAGCGAGGTTCCGAAGGACAGGTTCCTAAACAAGGTTCCTAAGCAAAGTTACGAAAAACAGGTTCCCGAGCAAGGTCCCAATGAACAGGTTTGAAGCAAGCAGGCAAAGTTTCCAAGAACAGGTTTCCAAGAGAAAGTTCCCAAGAACAGGCTACCAGGCAATGCTCCCAAGAGCAGGTTCCTAAGAATAGGCTCCCAAGAACAGTTTCCCAAGCAAGGTTCCGATAAACAAGTGTCAAGCAACGTGTCCAGGAACAGTTGCCCAGGCAAGGTTCCAAGAACATTGAACAACAGAACGCTGCAAAGTTTGAAGATTTGTTCTAATAACGGAACGGAGAGATTGAAGAACTAGTTTTGCTTCAAAAAATGATATGGCACTCGCACATGGATAAAACACTAGACGACGTGGCATGAAAGAAGGCAGTAGGGAGGAGACGAGAAGATAATACACGAGAAAAATGATGATGGTGATGATGATGACGACAATGATGATGGTGATGACGATGACGAGGATGAATGGCGATGGAGATGATGATGAATGATAGCTGACGCGAGCCAAACATCATATATCCACGGTTTCGCGCCTTTTTTGGCCCCACAGAGGGTTTGCTCCAGGGCTGGCACCTGAGTGACAGTCAGAATCCAAAGATATGCTGTTTTTACACAGCGAAAAGTTTACACAGAGAAGATGTTACACATAGAAGCCTTTACACAGAGAGGGATTTACACAGAGCAGCTTTTACACAGACGCTTTTGCACACAGACGCTTTTACACACAGAAGCTTTTGCACAGAAAAGCCTTTTCTAAAGAAGCCTTACCACATGAAGCCTTTACACAGAGCAGCTTTACACACAGACGCTTTTTCACAAAGAAGTTTTTACACAGGAACTTTAACGCGCAGATGCCCAAGCTTTTACACACAGGAGCTTTTGCACACACACGCCTTACAAAAAGAAGCTTTTAGACACAGAAACTTTTACAGCCTTTTCACAAGAAAGCTTTTACACAGAAGCTTTTGCACAGATATGCCTTTACAAACAGAAGCTTTTACACACAGAAGCTTTTACTCAGAGAAGCCTTGAAACAGAGCAGCTTTTACAGACACAGAAGCTTTTACACAGAGACGATTTTACACAGAGAAGCTTTTTCACAGACAAGTGTTTGCGGGAAGGAACTTTGAGCACAAACGGTTTTTAGATACAGCAGCTTTCACACAGAGAAGCTTTTGCGCGGACCAGCTTTTACACTCAGGTTTGTTTTCACAGAGCAGCGTTTACGCGGAGCAGCTTTTACACACCGAAGTTTTGACGCAGAGAGGCCTTTACACAGAGAAGCTTGTACACACAGAACCTACACAGATGCCGGTACACAGAGCAGCTTTGACACACAGACGCTTTTATACAGAGAAGCCGTTACACAGAGCAACTTTTACACAGCGCGGCTTTTACACAGAGACGCCTTTACACAAAGAAGCTTTTCTACACAAACGCTTTTACGCATAGAGGCCTTTACACACAGAAGCTTTTATGCACAGAGGTTTTCACACGGAAGCTTTACACAGAGAAGCTTTTACGCGGGGAAGCGTATAAACAGAGCATCTTTAATACGCAGAAGCATACACACACACACAAGCTTTACACACACGCCTTTGCACACAGAGCTTTTACACACAGACGCTTTTACGCATAGAAGCTTGTTCACAGAGCAGGGTTTACACAGAGCACAGAGAGAGGCCTTTGCACAGAGCAGCTTTTACAATCTTATACGCGCAGAAACTTTAAACACGTCCTTGTAAAATCGCAATTTTACACAAGTTTTATTTCGCGCGAAACGGTTGTGCCTGACTGACGTTTCAAAATGGATAAAGTCGCAATTTTACACCAATTCTTGAACGTTGGCATCTGACGTTGAAAAATCGCAGCTCTCCCACAGTTATTGCCGTTTGACTTTCGTGCCACGCTTGCATCTGAACTTTCAAAATCACAATTTTACAACAGTTTTTGACGGTTGACCCTCATTTCGTGCGAAGGGGCTGTGCCGGGCCTCACCAAATTTGCATTTTGCCACATGTTTGGATGTCCGACCTGCGCGATCTCTGAAGAGGGTTGCCCGTGCCCAAAAGAAATTCACATTCCACCACATGTTTAGGCGTTCGAAACGCACGATCTCTGCAGACGGCTGCTGCGGGCAAAGAAGTTTCGCATTTCACCACACCACATGTTTGCCCATCCGACACGCGCCATCTCCGCAGAGGGTTGCCCAAGGACAAACAAGACCCGCATTTCGCAACACGTTTGGGTGTCCGACACGCCGCAGAGGGTAACGATTCGTAAGCCACGGCCTGGCTGTCCCTGCCACCAGAGAGAAATAGAAGAACTGGATGATTTTGCAGGAGTTCAGATACAATTTGATCACCTGGACGTTAGCTGAACCCCTGTGTAGCAACTCCTGTGCAACAATTTCTGTGCAAAATGACCATGCCGGCAGGAGTCTTGTAGGAGTTCAAGTAGAAATGGATCACCTGCAAGTCAACTCCTGTGTAAATGACATTGTTCAAGTTTTGTAGGAGTTCCCTGGAAGTTGATCACCTGTAGCTGATGTAGGTGATGTTGTCTATGTTGTAGATGATGAGGATGATGTTGTAAGTGATGTAAGGTTAGATAGATTTGAAGGTGTAGGTGATGTATAGGATGCAGTGATACAGATGATGATATAGGTTATGTATGCGTTGTAGGTGATGTATATCATGTAGATGAGGTTGATGGAAAAAGATTGTGTAGGTGATGTAGATGGTGTAGGTGAGATAGATGATGGTGATGATGATGATGGTGGTGGTGATGGTGATGATAATCATGATGATGTAGGGAAGATCGTGCAGAAGATGTAGGTGATGTGGGTGATGTAGAGGATGTAGTGATGTAGATGATGATGTAGGGAATGTATGTATTGTAGATAAAGCATGTCATATAGATGGGGTTGATGGAAAATGTGTAGGTGGTGTAGATAATGTAGGTGAGACAGATGTAGATGATGACGATGATGATGATGATGATGGTGGTAATGATGATGATGGTATAGATGTAGATGTAGATCTAGAGAAGATGGTGTAGAAGACGGTATAGAAGATGTAGGTGATGTAAAGGACATAAGAGATGTGGATGATGTATGTTAGGTAGATGAAGTGAAGAGTGGGGCGGACAGAAGTTCTTTGGGAAAAAACCTTCGCACGAGCTTCGGGAATTTTGGCCACAGTATTGCGAACGCTTTTGGAAAAACGGTTTTTCATAAAGTGTTTGTGCTGTGATTGCGCCTTGTATGCCCGACCTCTAGAGTAAGAAGGGCGGGGCAATAAACATACTTCACTCATTGCGTGTTTGGCAACTGTTTTTGTTTCTGGCTGTTGGGGATACTCTTTGGGCTTATTTTCCGCTTTTTTGTTGGTTCCAACATCGCCAACAGCCATCAGGACGACCGGCCCCACTACCACAGCCAGTTGTACTCGCCGCGCGCGCACCGGGAGCGTGCGGACTGGTCCCTGGTGCGCTCGCTAAAGCTCTTTCTGCCCTTGGACTACGGCCCCCCTTCCTCGCGCAATGCGCTGCCACGCAGCGTGGTGGATCTGACGAAGCGGCTGCTGTCGCTGCGGCTGGGACCTGCTGATGGGCAACCCATGGGGTTCGGCATAAAGGGACAGCCAGAGGGGAGAAGGTGGAGAAGTCCAGTGGATGCCTTGGATGCGCTGCAGAATAATATGGTGGAGAGCTTCGATTTGGGCAAGCCCAAGAAGTTGAAGCTTGAATCATTTGTGATTTGCATTTTTTGTTTTGTTCTTTTTGTCACGAATCATACTTTTTTTTTCTCAGTGTGGATTGAATGAATAATTCTGGATACTACTGTAGTTATAGTGTGTACATATACATACACACACACACACATATATATATATATACACATATATATATACATAACTTTTCAACTTCAACTCGTTGTACTTCTTTGCATTCAGATCATGCATGCCATTTTATTTGAAACGTTGGCCGCAGCAAGGAAACGTGAGGCGGCTCTTCCAGGTGAAGTGGGTGGCTTTCGGACCTTCCGAGATGTTCGAGTCGTGGGCAGATCCACTTGCGATGACCGAAGCTGGTGGCAAGGGTCGGGTCGGTGGTGCCCTATGGGACAGTTTGACATGGTATTTCCCGTGTCAGAGGATTGGTGGTTGTCCTTTGGGTCTCTTAGGTCTTTCGGAATTTCGAGTCTTTGTTGATTTGCAAAAAACTTGGGGCAGCACCACGGGCTGGGTGTTTTGCATGCAATGAGGGGCCGGAAGCCTGGAATCTTGGGTTGAAGTGTGCCAGGTCGTTGAGGAACTCAACGCAAACCAATGTGATTTTTATCTGGTTTTCATCCCGTTTTGTTTTTCCCTTTCAATTCTCTTCAAGACTAGACTTGCTTTTGTTTTTTTTATCGATAAAAAAACAAAATCATTGAAGGACCTGGATCTTGGCTGAGCCGTCCCAAAAAATCTTCAGCCCAGGAAGGATCAGGGTGAAGATCTCTGGGGCCTCCATGGGCTTCTTCTGCCGCCTGGCCGCGCGTGTGGAAGGCGGTGCCACTGAGGGCGGCCCAATGGCCGCGGAGCAGCTTCAAGTGGCTGCGGCCTGCAGGCAGGCCTTGTCCGTGGACAAGGGAAGCTTCACGTTTCTGGGCCTAAAAAGGGGAGGCGGTTCATGCCACTTGATGCCTGTGGAGTGACTGCAACCAACATTTTTGATGATGGAATTCAGACAAACCGGAGAAGCAATCAAGTGGCAATAAGTTTGAGTGACACTATTCAATTCCACCATACCTTGAAGTTTCAAGAGAAGAGTTGTCGCATTCACAAGAGACTCTGATCACCTGCCAAGGATCACTGGGCTTCCCTCGCAGGTGAACGCTGCAATTGCCTTGTTGGCCTATGACCCAGTCCCCTCTCTGGGTGCGCCGCTGTCCTCCAAGCGCCTGACTGAAGCAGAGTTGGCGGCGCACTTTGGGAATCTGACTTTGGAGCTGGAGGAGGGGCAGCGAATCAGTGCTGATGGCTCGCCCTTTTTTGTTTTCCCCTCCTTCCGTGGGTCAGATGCAAGGTAGATCACGAGATATGATACTTCCCAGTTTTGAGTGATGGCATTGGCAGCTCGGACGATCTTTTTGAATGGCCAGATTACCTAGTCGCCTGAGCCCTGGCACAGGAGGCGTGCTCTTCACCCGAAAACGTCACCCTTGATGCGTTGTTGGACGACGTGGAGGCCGATGGGATAATGAGACCCTGGAAATGCCCACTGAGCTCCAAGTCAAAATCCCCCAGTTCGGTCGGTTAGGTTTTAGGTTCCCAGTCATATCCTGTTGTCCATGAGTTTGTTTCCCATCAGGAGCAGATGACCGTGGTGGCGCATTCGGCCTCCCGTTGCGAGCTGCTGGAGCGCCTGGGCGCCTCTTTCCGTGTGCTCTATCCACGGCTGCCGGTGCTGGTCACCTGCGAATGCGCCGAAAGCAGCGACTGTGAGGAGCTGCGGCAGAGGCCGCATGCGAAGATTCCCAGGATGGCGGTGATTGATGTGCCCTTTGACTTTGGACTTTCCAGGGGGAAGATGCTTGGTAAACTGCTGATTTAAAATGACTGTGGATGTGCATGTTGGAGATGGATGATTAGATTAGATATCAAGTTTGGCAGATGCAAATCTCGGAAAAGGAAAAGATCTTGAAGCTTCGAAACCAAAAAGTAAACATTGGTCACAGGCGACAAATGTCGAGTTGTGATTGGGTAATGCCAAAATTTTCCGGGAGCCGAGGAAACTCTTGGTCTCGCGAGTGGAAACCGAGTTCACTCTGGCTGCTTTGGATCAGCTTTTGCAAAGCTTTTATTGGTGCGTTTTATTTTGGGCCCAATAAAACCACCCAGATTTTCTCATGATTCTGAGAGTGGCTTACCAGAAATGAATAGAAATGATAGAGATCGAACCGGAACTTCGATAAACCTGAGCACGGAGCCCAAGACAGTCCATAGTCTTTAACCAGTGGATCGTATGACTTCAAGTGCTCCAGCTATCATGCAGGGTTGTTCCAACATGTTCCAACCTATTGACTCTTTGCCTATTGCTAGTTTGGAGTCTCCGTTTGCCCGGAATGCAAATTCATGACGTCTTGACGAAGAGCAAAAACCGTGGTAATTCCCGTACAAAATGACTGTATCAACATATATTGATATGGTTTTGTTTGTGATCGCAAAGACCTTTGCGATTTGCGAGTGCTGTAGGCTGTGAGGGTGCTCGAAAACTCGTTTTCCGAATTCCCTTTTTGAGTCTTTTTAATGAGGTAATAGTTGCACGCTTCCACGGGCGGGTTGATCCCTTATTGAAGATCTTGAATGTAAGTTGGAACAGTTTAGAGTTTGGGCGAACGGCGCCCAATTTTTTGGGTGTTGGGAACAAACTGCTGTGATGCAACGAGGTCTTGGATGATGACTTTGTCAGATCTCCTCTGTCCTGCCTGGAATGTATCTTGGGTCCAGCAATCCTTCGCAGCTGCCATGGGTCAGATGGGTCAGTGGTGGCAATATCAAGTACTCCTACCCGTTGCTAAATAGGCTTGTGACAGCTTGTGGACGCTTTATTTTATGCACAAATAGATCCAGCTAGAGAGCTGGCTTTTTGACTTGTAGCTTTTGACTGATCCTGACAGTCTCACCGTAGAAGGTTGGCACGAATCCAAGTGGCGCTACCAGAGATCTTGGGCTTACGAAAATGCTTATCCCTACTAGATGTGGGTTTATAGGTGCGCACTGGAGACTTCTTCTATACACATATCTGCATATGTTTAAATACACTTTACGAGGACATACGTACGGCGAGCGGTTGGTGGTACGACGTTGTTGTTGTTGTTGTTGTTGTTGTTGTTGTTGTTGTCGTTGTTGTCGTTGATGATGAACCAGCTTTTCCTGGTGTGTTGCACGACCAAGGCATGCTGTGGCACATGCGGAGTCATTTGCACTCCCTGACGCTGCCCTTTGACATGCTGGGTTTCCCCATTTTGGAGGCTGGAGCAATTGGATGATTTTTCTGGGTCGAGGGGGTCTCATGGCATGAAACAGGGACAACATGTGTGGAGATAGTAGGGGCACCATTGAAAGAGTGTATAAGCAATAGCAAGACTACATCACTTGTCCATTTGTCTTCCTTCGCCCGTGTACAAAGGTGAACCTCAAGAGCCATCACAGGTGATGCCCTCGGAATCCCGAAACAAATGCTGGCCTCGCCAAATTGGCTCGCAGGATGAGCGAAACTTTGGGGCTTTTCGTGGAAGCCTTCGCCCCACGCAGAATCGTTTGTTCTTGGATCCTATTGTGGCGGATGCCTCTGTCCCTCTGCTGTGGGCTGTGTCTGGGTGGGAATGGAGTCTCCCCTCCCACAGAAGATGGGTAGATACAGAGAAACTCCTTTGAACATGGAAAGTCAACGAGATAGTGGGATGCTTTCATCCACCAGGCGCACTCTTGGATGTGCATCACACTTGGAATGCCATTCACGACGTTACATCACAAGATTGGATAAGATAAGATAATATAAGATGGATTAGACATTGATTAGACTAGATGAGATCAGATTAGATCGGACTCGATAGGATATAGACGATAATCTCACTTCGGGGGCTCTTCAGCCTGGCGCATCCAGCTTCAAGGCCGATGGCTGCACACGCGTTGGCATCCATCCCATGGCTTTCCTGGGGCGCACGGCGCGGCTGCGAGAGTTCAAGTTCCAGGACAACCTGCAGGTGGGCAAGCACGAGCAGCGACCTGGCAGAGTTGGATGCAAAAATTAGGTGAAAATTTGTTGGACACCTGGAAGAAATGATGAAACATCATTGATATAATGCTAGACACAGTTTCTTTTTTTGTTGGGGTGTTGCCATTGCTATTTTCTTACTTATTTATATATTTTTTAAAAATAGATTACTTTTTTCTTTAAATAGATGAATGGTCGGAAAAGTATCGAAGAGCTAAAAGCCTTTTTTGGCAGCCGAAACTGGCTTGGAAAGCCATTGGAAAGCTGAGGTTTTTCTTCTCCAATCGCTATTTGGGCCTACAAGCGGCTGTGCCTTGAAGAGAAATGGCAAGCCTCGCGATGCCTCGCGTCCAACTTGTTGGGGTTGGCCAATTTGGCCAGTGTCCAATTCATAGAGAGGTACCCAAAATTCAGCAACGATAAACACGGCACACAAAACCAACTTGATGTCGTCTTGGCAGTCCAAAAAATCTCTATCTACAGAAACACACACTTGATCAGAACTGTCGTTGCGAATTTTGCTGTGGAATGCATCAGACGTGCAAAAAACACCAACACAACAACATAACACGATGAGATGTGAACCTACATATAGATATGTATATATTTAATTATATATATAATCACAGTAGACGTTGACGGTATAAAACAACGGCGATATACTCTACGTCCCCAGCTGCGACTTAAAACCGGCCACGTTTCCCTTCCCACTCATGCCCACAGCTTCATTGCGTGTGGTAGGACATGAGTGCCACATGCCCCTGCGATAATAAGAAGTTTTACATCTATTCAGATGGTACACACACATATACACATATGTATATATATATATATTCATCCTGGAGTAGAGTAGGTGGAATATGTAAATTTCAAAAGATCCTTACTAACCTGGGAAAATGTTCGAACATCCAATATTCTAGCAATTTTACGTCGACGATTGAGATCTTCCATCCAAACATCCACATGTTTTGTTCACCTTGTGGGCTCTTGAGTCGCCGAGGTTTGCTTCGACTCCACCTTCCCCCACTTCCGGGTGAAGATGAAGGGGGCCTACAAGCAACGCCGCGAACGCATGCAAGAGCTGATGACAAAAGAGTTCACGAAGATCGGGTTTCCCAGCATGATACCTCGGCAAAAGCAAAGGGTTGATGATGGGTTGATGGGAGTTCAAGCAGCCAACAAAGGTGAACGACCCAATAATCGATGGTTGAGATTGGCCCTTATTAGTGGATGTCGGTTATTGGCCCAGCATCGGGGTACCAAAGGTTGCCGTTTGATGGGGAACATGAGAAAAACTGGTGTAGTTTTACCGTAAAATTTCACAGGGAGAGCAATGTTAGGGATGGAGTTGTTTTTTTTCTCATTGTTTTTTGTGAGACACACCCTACTGTCCTAGAATTGGTTCAATGAAATTTTACAGGAATCTCCTAAACCTACGGTGCAGGAGTAGAAACCATGGTTTCAAACGTAAAGAACTCCTTTCACCAATCCGTTGAAAGTGGTTTATGTTGATTTAGATTTCCTTTTCCTTTGGTAAAATCCACTTGTTTTCGATGGTGAACACCTCCATTTGTGTTTCCGAAATCTGCAACTTTTTCAGTGATACTGATTGAGGTCCAAAATCACATGATTTTGTCCGGCTTTCTCCACAAATCAAATCACTATTTTTTTGAGGTCAATACTATTTGTTCTCATAAATTCCATGGTCTTCCGGAGTGAAATTCCCCATTTCGGGTGCAATCTGAAACTTTTCCAGAGATACGGAGTCAGAAATCAGTTTTAATTTGTTGTTCAACTTTTTCCACCCTTTTGTGGTGCCGAAATGGAAGTTTCTAACCCATGGGGGTACCCCAAATTAATCCAAATCATCAAAGATCAAAATTTAAGAAACAACCATGGTGACTTGGGAACCCATGACTTAGGAAACTCCAAATGGTTTTTCGAGGAATCTAGGAATATGGAATGTTCAACACCCAAATCAGCGATTTTCTTAGAAACCCACAAATCACGAATTTTTCTCAGGTCAATCCCGTTCTCATGAAAATCCGGTTGGACCATTTTGATATTGATCCTCCCCAACTCTGCCATTTTTTCAGGATGTATCTGCTGCAGAAATACGATGCCCTGAGCGGCCTGGACCATGCGGAGTTCATCTCCAAAGATGTGCCGCCTTGGCACATCTCGCACGACACCTGTGGGCCGCAGGTGGAGCCTCCGGCCGCTCGGAGCCGAGAACGTCGGGTTTTTTTTGCCTGGGAAAAAGGGTGGGAAGGCCAGGGAAAACACAGAAAACCCGGGAGATCTTCAGTTTCTGAGAGGATCACCCGAAGATGCAACAACGACAGTTTTTTGGGGCAAGGTGATTGTTAGCACTTGGAAATGGCAAACAAAATGGTGCCATGTTGGTTTTTAGGGTGTAGGATGATTCCATGATCCCATTCCTGAATGACTAGGACCCTCCTGGGACAAATCTGCCATGGCAAGGCAGCTGCCCTAATCAAGCCAACCACGAATTTATGAATCCACAGTTGGTAGTAGGATAGATTATTGAACAGCATAGATGATGAAAGTCTTCATCAGTCAACTACTGTCATCACAATTGAGTTGACTGAATTATTTTTGCCACTGCTGATTTTATTGTGAAAAAGCGAATGGTTTCCTGCGCGAAGATTGTTCTTGGTTTCTCTTGCCAGTGTCATAATATTTGCTAAATTTAGATTCGAAACAAACCATAGACCTGGATCAGGCCTCCCTTGTGTTCAAGAATTGGGTGAGAAGTGGCTCTGTAACAACCTTAGTACCTAGAATCACCGCGCACTATCATTGAGTGTTTTTTTTTTTACTTGATTGCTCCTTGGACCTGCCGGGCAGAAATCACTGGGATGATTTAAGGGAAAACCTGCAGAAAACAAGAAGTTGTCCTATTAAAAGTGGAGGTTTCTTGTAAGATTTTCCTTGGACCAATCCAGTGAAGAAAGGATTTCTTACGATGTTTGCATCAACCCCTTGTGACCATTGCAGACCATAGATTTCCAGCCACTGGCCCGCCGGAATGCGCGCAGGTTGAGTTCGGCATGCTGCTTGGCTTTGAGCAGCCTCAGACAACAAATTGGGCAGGTGGAGTATACGAGAGTAAATGGATGCATATGGTTCCAGTTTGCCACCCCCTTTGCACACAGATCATTGAATCCGCAGCTTCTGACTGTTGTTTTTGGGACAACAACCACTGCCAAATAGCCACAAACTCATTCTCAGCAGTGGTTTCCTCTGATCAGCTCCCAGGTTTTTCGTGGCAATTTTCTCGACCGCCACCGATAAAGGCCGCCAGTTTCGGCACATTCTGCGGGGCGAAGAATATTCGTAGCTCGGATTCTACGGATGGATAGGTCGCCCACAGTTTCGTGGACTACTTGCCACTTACAGGGGCGGCACATACCTTTTCTTCTTTCTTTTGGTGCCATCTATCTAAGGCTAGCAGAATGTTTTTATGTCAGTTGCAGGGTTGCAGATGCCTCCGAAGGCCAAAAAGATAATACCTTCCAGTGATATCCAGTAATTCGATGTGGAAGATTGCTAATTTTACTCTATGTCTATCCCAGATGTTTCCATGAACATTTGGAGTTTTTCGCATGTGAACATATATCAGAAGAAAGTGGTAAGATTCCAGATTCCCTATGGGGGTTTCTCAAAGTGGAGGATCCCCAAGTCGGCTGCTGAGGGAGGTGTGGCTCGCGAAGCTGTCAGAGTTGGCGGCTGTAAACTGGGCCTTCTTTTTGGAGCCGCGGCGGGAAGTTATTCAATGGGGATTTAAGATGATTGAAGCAGAATAAACATAGGCTTTCCAACTATTAAACAGCATCATTCCCATCATTCATCAGTCATATACATTCATATATACATGCATGCATGCATGCATGCATGCATGCATACATTCATACATTCACTCATACATTCATACATTCATACATTCATACATTCATGCATTCATGCATTCATGCATTCATGCATTCATGCATTCATACCAACATACATAAGTACGTACGTACGTACACACACATATATCTATATATACATATACATGTACATGTACATATACATGCACATATACAGTATACACACACATTTATATACATATATATATACATATACATATCCATATACATATACATATGCATAGACATAGACATACATACATATATATATACACACGTATATCAGTTGATCGATCAGTTCTTTTGTTTTTTTTTAAACGTGGGTTTCACAATGCACAAAATGTATCAACCATGACATAGTTTTGATGATTGATTATATAGAGTTGTATATATATATATATATTTAAATATATATATAGGGGGTTGTTCATTTGTAGAATTATTGACTGTCAAACATGTGTTGATGTGATGAATGGTGGTTTGTTTGTTTGTTTGTTTGTTTGTTTTTTCAAGTGCTACCCCGAATCTTATGGTATCCAAACCAGTATTTTGGATTATACATCACTGGCCAGAATATCCATTACTGGAACCCTGAAGCGTGATGACTTACACGGAGTCGCCTTTGAATATCTATATACATAATATTTTTATTATTTAAAGATGATTTGTGCATTTTTTGTTGTGCCACCCATTGAAACGGATTAGACCCTGCCAATCATTGGACACTGGACAGCAATCCTTCATCTTGTTGTTACTATGAATTATTACAAATCATTTTACTTTCAATAAAACACTCTCGAATAAGAATAGCAGGGTATAGGTCAAAACAAGGCAAAGCGCATCAGTTTCGAAAGGAATTGGAATGCCCTTGAGAGCCTTCCCAGTCTTGATGCGCCCAGGATGAGAATGCAGCTTCTAGTGGAAGTATTCAGGAGGAGGAGCTGATTTGGTGGCAATGGTCTGGGAGGATAAGATGGGAAGAAGCCATTCCCTGAGGATCTAAAGCTGCTGGATGAAGTTCCAAAATCAAGGGTGAAGTGAGTCCCAAAGACTTAAGAAGTCCGTTTGCAGAAGTTTGGAAACAGTTTGGAAGCAGTTGAGAAGATTTTGAACAAGTACCGCTTCAAATATATGTCGCCCCATTGGGTGGAGCTTTTGCAACCAGCAGCACATCAAGGAAGGGTGAACACAATCTTTGGGTTCAGATCAACGCATGTAGCGGCTCCCTGTATGGGTCCAACCTCATACTTGGTTTGCTCAGAGGTTGCTAGACAGGCATATTCAGGTGTCCACTGTACACACACACACATATGTGTATACATAAGTATGCATGTAAGCACACTCACATCGTATGCAGGTGAGTGTATATATTATATACATATATATATATGTATGTATGTATGTATGTATGCATGCATGCAATGTAATATAATGTAACATAATGTAATGTAATGTAATGTAATATAATGTAATGTAATGTAATGGTATGGTATGTTATGTTATGTAATGTATGTAATGTATGTATGTATGTATGTAATGTAATGTAATGTAATGTAAGGTAAGGTAAGGTAAGGTTAGGTAAGGTAAGGTAAGGTTAGGTAAGGTTATGTTATGTTATGGTATGGTATGGTATGGTATGTATGGTATGTATGGTATGTATGGTATGTATGGTATGTATGGTATGTATGGTATGTATGGTATGTATGGTATGTATGGTATGTATGGTATGGATGGTAATGTAATGTAATGTAATTGTAATGAATGTTATGTATGTAATGTTATGTAATGTTATGTTAAGTAATGTAATGAGAATGTAGGTAATGTATGTAATGTATGTAAATGTAGGTATGTATGTATGATGTCATGTATGTAATGTATGTAATGTATGTAATGTATGTAATTGTAGAATGTATTAACGTATGTAAGTATGTAACGTATGTAACGTATGTAACGTATGTAACGTATGTAACGTATGTACGTATGTGGAACGTATGAACGTATGTAACGTATGTAAACGTTATGTAACGTATGAACGTATGTAACGTATGAACGTATGATAACGTATGTAACGTAGGAACGTATGTAACGATGTAACGTAGGTAACGTATGTAACGTATGTAAGTATGTAACGTGATGTAACGTATGTAACGTATGTAACGTATGTAACGTATGTAACGTATGTAACGTATGTAACGTATGTAACGTATGTAACGTATGTAACGTATGTAACGGATGTAACGTATGTAACGTATGTAACGTATGTAACGTATGTAACGTATGTAACGTATGTAACGTATGTAACGTATGTAACGTATGTAACGTATGTAACGTATGTAACGTATGTAATGTATGTAATGTATGTAATGTATGTAATGTATGTAATGTATGTAATGTATGTAATGTATGTAATGTATTAATGTATGTAATGTATGTAATGTATGTAATGTATGTAATGTATGTAATGTATGTAATGTATGTAATGTATGTAATGTATGTAATGTATGTAATGTATTTAATGTATGTAATGTATGTAATGTATGTAATGTATGTAATGTATGTAATGTATGTAATGTATGTATGTATGTATGTAATTAATGTAATTAATGTAATTAATGTATGTATGTATGTATGTATGTATATATGTATATATAGAATTGTGTATGTATGTATGTATCTATATATATATGTATACAGTTCATTCACGGATGTAGGTACCTACATCTCAAAATCCCAGTGAACACCAAGGGTCAGTGCCGACTTGCTGTGCAATTCTGCAGGAGGCAGAATATGGAGACCTTGTCTTCTACCCGGCAGGGACCAGTGTCAACTCTGCGCGCCCCACAGCAGTCACTGGGCTGGGATTTCAATCATCTTGAAGCGGTACGTTTGTTGCATTGGGTTAATCCCACATTAAGGAGCTAGGATCCCAAAGGGTGAGGACCCATGGATAGTAGCCAGGTATACATATAGCCAGGTATGGATGGGATGTATTGATAGTTTCCAAACATGGAACTATATAGCTATGGACTGGAGGGGTATACTACCAACCACCTAATCACGAAGGATGGCGTCAGCTACCTGAGTTAATGTGCGTTGGCACTGGGGTGGTCCATTTCCACTCGTCGTCATTTTTTTGACAAACATGGATTAAGAAGGTTTTCTATTTCACTTAGAGACACGTGTAGAGAGCGCAGTGCCTGAGGTAGGTTTGTTTCATGGCGGCTCAAAGTTACACCTTGCTCATTTTCGATTGGCTTGTCCACATAGAGTGCCCCAAGATCCCATTGTTCATCGCTTTTTTCCCCTCCCCCATCTCAACAAGTTTCCTGGAACAGGATATTCCAGTACTGGTGACACCCCCTCTACATTTCGTCCACCTCTTCTCAAGTATATAAATAGTGGTACAGTAGGCGTATTGGTGGTTAGTTCATATTGGCCGCGACAGCTGTGCTAAGGAGCAGTTGCGCTGGTCCTTCGCTTTTTTGTCACTTGGCCAATCCAGCAACGAGCAAGAATTTCGTGAACAAATCCGAAAGTATATGTATTTCAACATTTGGAGGGTATTCCGAAATTCCTTTTTTTTTTGGGGGTTTAATGGTCCCAAGGAATTTGTACAACTGCACTGCATCTGCAGTTCGTGTGATTTCTAGCCGCAGCAGGCAGCGCTTCCAATTTCGCTGGCTCTTAGTGACCTTCGAGGCGACCTTCGTGAACACTCCCGTGCGACTTGACGGTGATGGTGTTTGGATACGACATGATTTGTTTATGATCCAATTATCTAATATTGTTTACATATAGATGCATTTAAGAAAATATTAACACTATAAATAAATAAACAACTAAATAACTAAATAACTAACTAACTAACTAACTAACTAACTAAATATGTATATATATATATAAATGTATATATATAGATGTATCTATATTACATGAAATTATATGAAATATGGTATGAAAAAAACAGTCAACTAACTTAGAAACCAACTTAGCAAACTTAACTATGCAGCACCACCTTGTGCTCTAGGACTTGTCGGTTGGCTGTTTGAGGAGTAGCGTTTCACCTTCCGTTTCAGGAGCACCCCAAGAAAATAAGGCAGGCTTCCAGCGGCAATTTGAGTTCAATATCCGGTTCAAAGCACCAGCGGCAGACCATATGCAGAAAAATCATCATGTGTTTCCATCAGGATTTTAGGATTTTCATATCATGATTCCTATCATCATGAAATCCTATCTGGTGAAATTCACATAGCTGTGGAACCACGAATGGACCATGGAGCTGGGATGACCCCAAAGAAAGGAACCCCTAAATGGAAGCTGCAGAATGGGTAAGATCATTATAAGCCAGTTGCATAATTAATATGGGATATCCATCAGTTATATAAGTTATATAAGTTATATGATATATGCATATATATATATACATTATGGACATCATTCATTACCCTCTGGTGATCAGACACGGCAATGGAACATCCGCAATTCATAAATGAGTGTCCCAGCTATAAATCTCCATTTAGTGCGGGGATTTTCCCAGCTAGCCATGTTTGATGACACTAGAGGGTATGTTAAATGACCACTATTATCCATGATTGTAGGTCATATGCCCCATGAAATCTCAGATAATATCCCTTTCATGTTCGAATATCCCATTGTAGGGATGGGTTGACATTGACATTACCGGATTAATAAACTATGGCTTATTAGGATTTATTAGGGGGGGTACTCCCCAAAAGTGATCATCTGATACTTCAATGGTACCCTCTGGTGAACTAACATTTTGCTATGGAAAATCACCATGCTATTCATGGGAAAATCCACTATTTCTATGGCCATTTTCCATTGCTATGTTAGTTCACCAGAGGGTACTCCCCCAATTCAAGTATTTGGTATAATAAGCCATAGTTTATTGGTATAATAAGTACTATTAATAAACCATTAATAAACTATGGCTTATTATACCAAAAGTGATCATCTGATACTTCAATGGTACTCCCCCAACAGCCTAGGTTGTTCCAGTCGCTGAGTCGTGTGGAGCAAGCCTGGGCCAATGCAGCCAGCCGGACGGTGCTGGGGAAGTGGACGGAGCAGGGGCTGCTGGGACCACAGGGCGACAGGGCTGAGGGGGGTTGGAAAACCGAGAGGGAGAAATCGTAGTTTCTATGCATGTTGATGGGATTTATATTGTTTTTTTTTTTAAATATGTTTTTGTGAAATGAAAATTATACGGATTTGTACAGATTTCTATGAGATTTATATGGATTTCAATATGGATTTATTTGGATTTCATCACCGGACCAACTTCATTCTCGATGAATCTTGCCAACTCAAATGTTGGTATTAGGTAGCGCCCCTTTTATTCATGGGGTACCATCTTCAAATTAGCAAAAAACATCATGCTACTGGGGTGAATGCAACGGTAAACCTCTAATGTGGGCAACCCAATAATAAACCTACCATTTGGGGATGCTTTAGACAAGCCATTCATAGTGATTTGGGGGATGATTTATTCATGGTGATTTGGGGGATGGTTTATTGTTGGGTATTTACCACATTATTTGATACCCTCTGGTAAACGTTTACATAACTATGGAAAATCACCATGCTATCAATGGGTAAATCCACTATTTCTATGGTCAATAGCTATGTTAAATTACCAGAGTGTAATCCCAACATTTCCCAGGCTGGCACCCGAGCTACTCATCCTGACCCAAGACGTCTTCCACCTCTTGGCTTCGCATCGCATGCTGCGGTGGCTGCGCACGGAGCTGACCTTCGGAGACGCCGTGAATGCCTGGCTGGCACCACTGGCGATACAGCGGGAGAACATTCCAGGCATTTACACAGGCCGCGGGACTGGAAGGCTTCACTGTCAAGCCAGGATTCATAATAGTAGGAGCTGTAAAGCTGCAAAGCTTCGGTTTATTAAGAGGACGCACATAATAGTCGGAGCTTGTCACTATTTTGGGGAACTCACCAGCTAATGAGTTGCCGAGGACCAACCCGGCAAGGGAACATGACCCATTATGTTTGATTTCCAGAAACCAATAGCTTGTAAGAATCTGGGCATACCCAATACATCCGCAAATTCACAATAGGTTACGTTACTGTTTATTACATTCCACACACACGCACAAGCTCACTCATAGTAAATGAAAGTGAACTCATGACCACAAAACAGACAAGTAAACACACATACAGACTGCATATACACACAAATCGATTCACATTCATCCAGAATCTCTAAGATATATGTCAGATACAGTGAATCTATGTCACACAGACATACAGACATCCATCCATGCATACATGCATGCATACATACATACATGCATACATACATACATGCATACATACATACATGCATACATACATACATGCATACATACATGCATACATATATACACGCATACATACATGCATACATACATGCATGCATGCATACATACATGCATGCATGCATACATGCATGCATACATACATGCATGCATGCATACATGCATGCATACATGCATGCATGCATACATACATACATGCATGCATGCATACATACATGCATGCATGCATACATACATACATGCATGCACGCATACATGCATACATGCATGCATACAAACATTATACAAACATACAAATATACAAACATAAATACATACATCCATACATCCATGCATGCATAGATACATAGATACATAGATACATAGATACATAGATACATAGATACATAGATACATAGATGCATAGATACTTAGATACTTACATACATGCATGCATGCATAGCATGCATACATACATGCATGCATGCATAGCAAGCATACATACATACATGCATACATACATACATCCATGCATGCATGCATGCATGCATACATGCATGCTGCATACATACATGCATACATATATACATACATGCATACATGCATACATACATGCATGCATGCATGCATGCATACATGCATGCATGCATACGTACATACAGACACACAGACATACATACATACATACAGACAGACATACAGACAGACAGACATACAGACAGACAGAAAGACAGACAGACAGACATACAGACAGACAGACAGACAGACAGACATACAGACAGACAGACAGACATACAGACAGACATACAGACAGACAGACAGACATACAGACAGACAGACAGACATACAGAAAGACAGACAGACAGACAGACAGACAGACAGACATACAGACAGACAGACAGACATACAGACAGACAGACATACAGACAGACAGACAGACATACAGACAGACAGACATACAGACAGACAGACAGACATACAGACAGACATACAGACAGACAGACAGACATACAGACAGACAGACA